ATTGTCTTTCTGGGTCTGGGTTACCTCACTCAAGATAATGTTTTCTAGCTCCATCCATTTGCCTGCAAAATTCAAGATGTCGTTATTTTTTTTTCTGTTGTGTAGTACTCCATTGTGTAAATGTACCACATTTTCCTTATCCATTCTTTGGTTGAGGGGCATTTAGGTTGTTTCCAGGTTCTGGCTATGACAAACAAAGCTGCTATGAACATGGTTGAGCACATGTCCTTGTGGCACAATTGAGCATCCTTTGGATATATACCCAAAAGTGGTATTACTTGGTCTTGGGGAAGGTTGTTTCCTAATTTTCTGAGAAATCACCATACTGACACCCAAAGGGGTTGCACCATCTTGCATTCCCACCAGCAATGCAGAAGTGTTCCGTTTTCCCCACAACCTCTCCAGCATAAGTTATCATCAGTGTTTTTGATCTTGGCCATTCTTACACGTGTAAGATGGAATCTCAGAGTTGTTTTGATTTGCATTTCTCTGATGACTAAGGATGTTGAATATTTCCTTAAGTGTCTTTCAGCCATTTTAGATTCCTCTGTTGAGAGTTCTCTGTTTAGGTCTGTACTCCATTATTTTTATTGAATTATGTGATCTTTTGGTGTACAATTTCTTGAGTTCTTTGTATATTTTGGAGATCAGACCTCTGTCTGATGTACGGTTAGTGAAGATCTTTTCCCATTCTGTAGGCTGTCGTTTTGTCTTGTTGACTGTGTCCTTTGCTTTACAGAGCTTTTCAGTTTCAGGAGGTCCCATTTATTAATTGTTTCTCTCAGTGTCTATGCTGCTGGGGTTATATTTAGGAAGTGATCTCCTGTACCAATGAGTTCATGTGTACTTTCCACTTTCTTGTCTATAAAGTTCAGTGTGGCTGGCTTTATGTTGAGGTCTTTGATCCATGTGGACTTGAGTTTTGTGCATGGTGATAGATATAGGTTTATTTTCGTTCTTCTACATGTTGATATCCAATTATGCCAGCACCCGTTGTTATATATGCTTTTTTTTCCATTTGATATTTTTTACTTTTTTTTGTTTGTTTGTTTGTTTTTGTTGTTGTTGTTGTTGTTTTTTCAAGACAGGGTTTCTCTGTGGCTTTGGAGCCTGTCCTGGAACTAGCTCTGTAGACCAGGCTGGTCTCGAACTCACTATTTTTTACTTCTTTATCAAAAATCAGGTGTTCAAAGACGTGTGGATTGATATCCAGGTCTTCGATTCGGTTCCATTGGTCCTCCTGTCTGTTCTTAGGCCAATACCAGGCTGTTTTCAGTACTGTAGCTCTGTAGTAAAGTTTGAAGTCAGGGATTGTGATGCCTCCAGAAGTTCTTTTATTGTACAGGATTGTTTTGGCTATCTTGGGTTTTTTTGCTTTTCCATATGAAATTGAGTACCTTTTTTTTTTTGTCTTTGAAGAATTTTGCTGGGATTTTGATGGGCATTGTGTTGAATCTGTCCCACTTTTATTTTTAATAAACATTTTAAATATAGTTGTTAAACGTGTGCAAGTGAATATAAATAAGAGAAAAACATTTTTTGAGACAGGTTCTCTCACTATGTAGTTCTGATTGGCTTGGAACTTATTATGTAACTGGGCAATGGTAGCTTTGGAGCCTGTCCTGGAACTAGCTCTTGTAGACCAGGCTGGCCTTGAATTCACAGAGATCGGCCTGCCTCTGCCTCCCAAGTACTGGAATTAAAGGCGTGTGCCACCACCGCCTGGCTAGTTATACATTTTAAAATTTATATATTTCACTACAATTTCAATACTTTGTAGCCCAGATTGGCCTCAACTGCAACCATCTTGCCTCTGTTGCCCAGATGTTGAGATCATAGGCAAGTACCACCATGCCCTATTGACTACCTCCCAGATGTTGAGGTCATAGGCATGGACCACCACACCCTCTTGACTACTTCCCAGAAGTTGAGGTCCTAGGCATGGACTACCATGCTCTCTTGACTACCTCCCAGATGTTGAGGTCACAGGCATGGACCACCAAGCCCATTTGATTTTGTTATTTGTTTCTTTTCTGAGAGGCAGGGTCTCTCTCCTTGCTCTGGCTGTTGTGGAACTCACTATGTAAACTAGGCCAGCCTCAGACTCACAGAGATCCACCTACCTTTGCCCCTGCCCCTGCCTCCAAAGTGCTGTGATAAAAGGCATGCACTCAGCTCAGTTGACCTAGTTTCAATGTTAAAAATTAACGGGGTGATCTTCAAGGTCATAGATGTGGCTCTGGAAAATAAACCAAGTTTATTTCATCATTATAATTAATCATCCTTAAGCTTTGGTCAAAGGAGACCCACAGTATTCACGGTGGGAAAGGAATCTGGCCTCTTATGGGAGGTGAGGGTGGAGCCTGGGGTGGGGGGTTGGGTGGGGTGACTGTCTTGAATCCATCCTGTTCCTAGCTTCAAGGCTCACTAAAGAGGTTCCTGTATGTTTACTTCTCCAAAGTTCTTCCATACATCCCCTTAATAACTCCACACAGGCTGTGACCCTGCCATCTCCAGGGGAGGGAGCTGATTTGCACAGAGACAGCCCGCTGCACACTCCACACAGCCCCCGGAATCTGTGACCAACCCAAGCCAGGGGGTGACTGTCTTGCCCCTGCCCTGGCCCTGTGGGAGGAAGAAGCTGGCAGATCAAAAAGGGTTACCAGCTGGCTCCGGTGACTCACAACTGTGGGTCCAGGGCAGTGAATAAAAAGACAGATGACTCAGACTTCAGCGGGGCGCAGGGAGACACCGCAGCAGCTCTTTACGACAGAGAGCAGCGGAGCTGAGCCCAGCTAATGTAAACCCCTTCTAGTGGTGGGGCACTACCGGATGGGCCTCTTTTGAGACAGGGTATCATGTTGCCCAGGCAGTCTTGGACTCCTGCTCGCCCGTTTTCTGCCTCCCCAGTGCAGAGATTACAGAAACCTTGTGTTTGCTTCTTCTTCCCAACCAGTCTTTCCCCCTGCCTAGCTATGGCCTGCTCTCCATTCCGTAGGCTTTTCCTTGCCACTAAGCTCTCAACTCAGTGTGTTTGTGCAGCCGTTTCCCATGATTTCCTCCAATTGGGTTTGCTTCTCTTTCTTCTGCACATTCAAGTACTTGGATTACCCATGCTTGGGCCTCTATTTCTTATGTCCCTCCCCCCCCCCCCCCCAGAATAAAAGGGTCCGATAGGCAGGAACTTCTCCGCTCAAGCACATAGTTATACTGAGGGCCGAAAAGTCCTGGCTAATGTGTTGACTCACTAGACCCTTTCTGAAATGTTCCTGCTTGGCCTGCATTGCTGAGGCCACAGCATGCTGTGCTGACCACAGACCTAGAGGGCGTGATGACTCTAGTGCCCGTTGAAGCGGAAGGCAGATGGCTGGGCCTGCGTACTCTTTCCCAGCATCCTCTGCTTTGCCTGTGGGCAGGCTTCTGTCCAGGCCTCCCTTCTTGCCGTCCTAACATTTTTTTCTTGGACAGGATCTCGCTACATAGTCGGAATATCCTAGAACTCATTATTTAGACCAGGCTGGCTTCGAACTCATCGAGATTAACCTGCCTCTGCTTCTACCTCTGGTATATGTGGTGGTATAAGCCTATATGCTGGTGTTGCTTCAACTTTGAGAGTCTGACCCGAGTAATTTATTCTAGGCATATTTAAATGCAGCACAGTTTGGGAAAGAGTTTCTTGGTTATAGTGAGCTCAGTCCCATGTGTCCAAAGCTTAAGACTTGCTTACTTTGAAACTTTCTTATAAAGTACAAGTGACGTCTTCCATAAAGATACCTCCTATAGAGTAAATGAGAAAACAATCTCAAGTTTAGGGTCTGGGGGAGGATGTGGGGTGGCCTTGGCTACACAAATTCTGAAAAGGTCACCAGGCTATTAACCGCATCCACCCCAGCCTTCTGGGCAGAAAACAGGTTGTACGTCTTGTTTTTGTCCCCTTTGAAGAGACAATCCCATGTATTTGATGTTCTTGGTTCTGCTGGTGCTTATCTGTGAGAACAAGGACCTCCGTGCCTCCTACAGCTCAGCGATGACTGTCTCACACTGTCAAAGTCAAAAATCCAAACTAAATTCTTCCTCATTTAAGTTGTTCTTCCAGGGACAATATTGCTTTGTTTTTCATTATTTTTTTTGTTTAACTTTATGTGTATGAATGTTTTGTCTGGCTGTATGTTGGTGTACCATATGCATGCCTGGTGCCCACAGAGGACAGAAGAGGGCATTGGATGCCGTAAGACTGGAGGTACAGGTGGTTGTGAGCACCATATGGGTGCTGGAAATTGAACCTGGGTCTTCTGGAACAGCAGCCAGTGCTCTTAACCACTGAGCCAATTCTCTAGCCCATCGCCGAGTCTCAGAAATTCTGGAAAATCAGGTAATGATATAAATGATATAAATGTAATGACGATTTTTGAGATAGAATTCTCACGTAGCACAGGACATTCTCAAACTCTCTCTGTAGTTGAGGATGGCCCTGAACTCTGACCCTCTTGCCTCTACCTTCTGACTGGAAATAGAGGTGTGTGTGTTATTGTGTCTGCTGTAAAGCTAATTTTAAAGATTAAATTGATTAAAATTATGCTCATGATCTGTTTGTGAAGGTGTGTGGAGTTGGCTCTCTCTTTCCACCTTTTCCTGTTGTCTGGTCACAGAACCCAGGTCACCCAGTCTTGGCCAAATGACCCTTTACCTACTGAGTCATTTTGCAGGGTTGTAAAGCTAATTCTTTTAACCAGAACAGACAATTAACCAGAAAAGCGGCTATGTTAAACCTGTACCCTAACATAATTTTTGGAAAAAAAAAAAAAAGCACTGTGTCTGGGACAGAACATTTCCTCTTGTTATGTGTAATGTGTTAGGTATGTCTCCAATTACACCAAGTCCCTGAGGGCTCGGGACTTTCCATAGCCTTTTGGTCTCTATGACAATGCGCCTTGTGGCCTCAGAGGAAGCACAGGTGACAGGTGGTGCAGGTGCCAGGGAATGTTGGGGGAGACTTGTTGACTGCCGAATCGCACAGGTAACTTCATGAGCGTCTGTGCCTGAGTGCTCCGCTTTGCCTGCCAGCCCAGCCAGACTGCCCGAGTCCCCACCTCTCTAGGAGAAGTCTACAAGTCCTGCAGCTCTGGATGAACCAGAGAGAGCTCCTGGTGGCTGTGGCTCAGCAGAGAGTTGGGAACTCCCTCTGGAACCCCACTTCTGATGATGCTCGAGCTTCCTGAGTTCTAGAAGGGCACGGCTCGGGCAAGCAGCATCCATTCTGTTCAGCCGCAGGCCTCATGCAGCCCTTCAGCATCCCGGTCCAAATCACACTGCAGGGGGGCCGGAGGCGCCAGGGGAGGTAAGTCCCCACCGGAATCTCCCACTAGAGTTCATCTTGCCAAACCAAGCTATGTGCACTTCTAGCGGACAGGCTCAGATTGGAGGCTCAGCTTGGTAGGTGCTTTGAGGAGGCCAGGTTGCAATGCCTCCAGGCACCCGCAAACTACACCCTCTTATTCCCCAACCCCTCCCCCATATTCCTCCTACCCCATCCCACCACCACCTTTGGTTGTCGTTTTGAGACAGGATCCCAGGTAGACTAGCTGGCCCCAAGTTCTCTATACAGTTAAGAATGATCTTCCTGCCTCCAGTTCCCCAGTGCTGGGATTACAGGTATGGACCGATGTACCTGGAGCACGGGTGATGGAGGCAGGCGCTGTGGGCTCTGGATCCCAGCTCTCAGGCAGTGCTCAATACCTTTTGTGTGAAGGAATGAAGAAATGACACTAGCCTTTGGTCTCAGTGGTGAAGTCTTGGTGGTCCAGACCAAGACCCGGGTGCCAGCTCCCCATCTAGGCAGCTGTAAGATTGTGGGTGCCTGCCACCCTTCTTCTTATCTTGAAATAGTGACACCTGTGCCCTAGCACAGGGGTAAACCATCTTTGAACTCTCTAAACTAGGTAAGACTGTGTGTCCTGTGAACATTAGCTTTTTTATATTATTATTTTTGGTTTTGTTAGTTTGGGGGCGTTGTTTGTTCCTTTGGTTGGTTTTTGTTTTTTGAGACAGGGTCTCCTGTAGCCCAGGTTTGACTGCAAACTATCTGAGGCTGACCTTGAACTCCTGATCTTCCTGCCCCCACTTCCTCAGTGCAGAGGTGGCAGGTGCGCACCACCCAGCTATGCCGCAGAGAGGAGGAAGTGAAAAGGATCGTTTAGGGCCCCAGTTCCCCCAGGGTGTGCAAAGCAGAAGAGTTTTAAGCTTCAGGGAAGTGGGGCTCCCATGCCTGTCATAGAGCTGGGGCAGCAGAGCAGTCAGCAACGGGCAGAGGAAAGGAGAGCAGTGCCCGGGGTTTTGAGTAAAGAGATATTAAAGAAAGATGTGCTGGCATGTTCTTGGGAGGGGAACACCTTGAGGCCGAGCTCTCCTACCACAGGAAGCTTCCTAGTAGGAGCTGGTATCGGCTCACCACTCACTTTAACTACCCTCCTGGGATGGGGCGTGAAGAAGGGGGCAGATGGGTTGGGGATGGCAGGTAGGTGGGTCAGACTACAGAGCAGAGAAAGTCTCCGAACTATGGACTAATGCTTTTATGAGTCTCTGCATGGCGGAGACTGAGCAGCAACCAAGCCAGCACGTGAAAGTTAAGATGCTGCTCATGACAAGGAAGACAGTCAGTCTGTCCCTGCACTCCTCATGACAAGGAAGACGGTCAGTCTGTCCCCCACCCTGCTCATGACATGGAAGACAGCCAGTCTGTCCCCTGCACTGTTCACGACATGGAAGACAGTCAGTCTGTCCCCACACTGCTCATGACATGGAAGATAGTCAGTCTGTCCCCACACTGCTATGATGAGGAAGACAGTCAGTCTGTCCCCGCACTGCTCACGACATGGAAGACAGTCAGTCTGTCCCTGCACTGCTCATGACTTAGAAGACAGTCAGTCTGTCCCCATGCCCCTGCATCTCACTTTCATTCCTGATATGCAGAGCTGGATAGTGCTCTTTGCTCCACCCTGAACCTGGTGGTGGCTTTTATTCAACCTCATCTGCTGTTTCGAACAAACAGTTAAGCAGTTTTGTAATTAAAAACAAACACCCAGAAGAGGGTGAGAACAATGACCAAAGCCTCTTTTTTTTTTTTTTTTTTTTTTAAAACAGAAACCAATTTCCAGAAGGTGCTAGTTGAATATGCCTCATGCCCAGAGTCACAAATGCAGGGGAATTCCTGCCAGGTGAATTGTGGCATGTGGCTGAGCTATAGTGAGTCTTTAAGGAACAGTTCTCACACAGTTCCCATGTCAAAGGGCAAGGCTGCTGGCTCCTGTCCCAATCACGCCCAGAAAGCTAGGCAGCCAGCAAGCTAGCCTGCTCATGCGCACTGGAACTGATGCTGTGCTCAGGACTGGTGGGAAAGTTACCCTCTGCAACTGGGTCCTGGACAGTCTGGGCTCTCCACCGTCACAGTCTGCAGTGCCAGCAGCGAGAAGACGGGAAGGAGCAAGGGGATGAGATCAAGCACGGCATATGCTTTAGGAAAGCAAAGTAAAGCAAAACACAGCTGGCAGTTCCTTCCACGGGACTTTCGCCTGGCTCTAACTTCTAAACTTCAGAAGTGTTCTCAGCAGAATGGGGGGTCTGAGTTCCCACTCTTGGAGCTGCATCTCTTCGGCTTGAAATGGGAATGGATGGAGGCTGACCTGGAGAAGTGAGAAATAAGTATTTTAATGAGAGCTGTCATGATTTTAAAGTGTTAGCAAACAGTACCACATTAGGAAGAAAAAAAAAAAAACCAGACAGAAAAGAGCAAGCAGATGCTTGCGTGGCTGGATGCATGTCTAACTGTGATGGCCTCACCACTCAGCAGACATCCCTGTGAATGGATTATCTCAGCTCCCAGGACAGGGCAGACGAAGGCAGGGCAGAGTTGAGAGGAGCATGGATTTGTTCAAAGAGGGAGGGATGGTGTGGGGAGGGGGAGGGACCTTGAACCTGTGAGCAGCAGATCAGACCAAGGGCATGCTGTCTCACCCAGGTGATGGGGCGGCAGTGGTGTGCAGCAAGAAGAGCAACCTCTTGTCCCAGGTCACTGTAAACGTGGTTTTTGCAGCTGTGCTCTCCATGCAGAGTTCCTAGGAATATGGAGAAATCACACTCAGAAAGGCCGTAGAGGCCACTGAAAGACAAGCAGGCCCAGAACCTGCATTCCAGGTGATGATCGAGAGCCATACCCAGGCGACTGATTCTGTTCTAGTTGTGGATACGATGGCTCTCCTGAGATGCCACCAGGCACAGCGGTCCCTAATCTTGTTACAGCTTCTCCTTCCCTCCCTTTCTTCTTCCTTTAAAAAAAAAAGAACTTAAAGTTTTATTTTTGTTTGTTTTGTGTGTATGTGTGTTTGTGTATGTGTCCACTTGTCTGTATGAGCACCTATCATGCAGGTGTCTGTGAAGTCTGTGAAATCTAAAAGAGGGCCTCGGGTTCCCTGACACTAGTTAGAAGCAGTTGTGAGCCACCTGGTGTGAGTCCCAGAGTCCACTTTCAGCAAGCTGATTTGCCAATATAATGTAAATTATGCCGCACCCAGCTTTTTATATCTGAAAAATATTTGACAACATATCATATTGGCTTATATTGATGGCGCCCATTCTCAGCTCTGGGTGTGGGATCTGGGGCATTGCAGGAAGCTGTTTATGACTTTAGTGAGCCAGACTCAGGTTGGCCACATGGTAAACACCTGAGCTCTCTTAAGCTCACACAGCATCCTTCTTGACTTACCCCCAAAGGCCAGCACTTGCAGCTTCAGGCAGAAGCGATGGAGACCCGCTGAAGGTGCACCCAAAACTTCCATCAAGCGCGGGAGAGGACCGTGCCACGCTGCTGGGCATTGCCATGATGGTCTCCTCTGTGCTGATGTTCTTCCTACTGGGGACCACAGTGTTGAAGCCTTTCATGCTCAGGTGAGACACAGGTCAATACCCAGAGCTCCCGGATGGGCCCAGCCCGGCACTGGAGTCCATTCTCCTGGGCACACCCTGGGCTTGCCTGCCAATGCTGGACACAGTGTGGGGCGCAGAAGGTGCTGTGAAGTATTCCTGAGTTACCCCACGTCCACAGTTTGCATGTGTTTCTGTATACAGTCTCATTGCCAGTTGAGACTGGCGTGGTTGGTAGCACAAAAACACCCTGCTAGGAGATGCCAGTCCAGCTTTCTCTCCGGTATCACACCAGCAGAAGAAACTTCTCTCTGCTCCTGCTCAGCTAGGTCTCTTGCTGGAATCTTACATCTGCTTGCCCCCTAACGGCACTGGCTACTCGGATGCTCTAAGTCCAGCTCATTCTTGTCACCATAAAGGATTGTGTGACCTCCAAGGGAGACATTTGTAGCTCTTAGTATTTCTTCAGTGTTCTCTCCTTTTCCTGTTAGCCATTTCCCCTCACCTTTAAAGAGGCACAGGGCTGCATGTCACACGTCTATGTGAGCTGAAGGAATGGGTGTTCACATACACATGTGCACATACAGGCAGATTCAGGGGGAGGGAGAGAGAGTGTGTACCAGCTAGCCATGTAAAAAAACGACTTTGGGGAGTCAGCTCTCTCTCTCAACCATGTGGGTCCAAGGGATTGGGGTCATGCTTCAGGCTTGGAGGCAGGTGCCTATCCCCTCTGAGACATTCTGAGAACCTCAGAAGTTTTTTTGAGACTTTTGTTATGAAACATGTGTATGAGCGTGTATCTCCGCCCTTGGAAACCAGGGGTGTCCGGTCCCTGGTAGTTGAGTTTCAGGGGCTTTTGAGTTGGCTGATGAGTGCTGGGAATCAAACTTGGGTCTTCTGCAAGAGGAGCGTGTGGTCTTAACTGCGGAGCCATCTGTCCAGCCCCTAGACTGCTCTTTAAACATGCGAGGTGTCAGGGAGATGGTTGCAGGCTATCTGCCGTAAACTGAGGTCAATCTGCAACTCATGTTAGTTCTAGTTTCTAAGTATTTCTGGAAATGGCTTGATGAGAGCCGTGAAGACACAGCCTGGACAGTCAGTGTTCACTTTTGTCTCACCTTGTTATACTTTACCATCCGAGGGAGCCGTCCCTAACCAACAGCAGTTAAGGTTTCTAGGGTAACTCACACCTTCCTCTCCACCCCTCATCTTTCAGTCCAAGGGACCGGGAGTTGCAGATCAGGCCAGAAGACTCCCAGCACAAATGGGAGACACTTGAGTGAGCCCCACCCTTAGCAGAGGAACTATCGCGACTGATGGCTGATGCAGGAGGCAGTCAGTTTCTTCAGGGGCCCCACCCTGAGAGGTTACCCATGTTCCCCTGGATGGTCCAACACTCTGTGCACACTGATGAGTGGCCTCTGTGGGTTAAAACAACAAGCACGTGAAGCGGGAGGAAAGGTGGGAGGGGAATGGGAAAGACAAAAGGTGTTGGCTTTGACCAAACCCATTGCGTGCATGAATGAAATTCTCAAGCAATAAAAGGAGAGGCACATTGTCAAAAAGACGTGGAGCTAGTGAAGTGACACCCAAGCTCTAAACACACCTTGTTGTGTCTCAAGGGTTCAGGCCCTGGTGCACGGGGCCGTGGCACTCTACTGCAGCTCTCTGAGGTCCCTGTGAGAGAGCCAGATCACAATCAGCACACTTACATTCCAACAGATCCAAACAGAGCTCCAAAATAGTAAGTACCTCAAGATGCCGAGTTTAAACAGATAAGCAGAAAAGCAGGCTAGAATGAAGCTCAGAAAGAACTTTTGTTTTCACATTTAAAATGTGCTTATTAGTGTGTGTGTGTGTGTGTGTGTGTGTACCACACTCATGTCTGATAGTGTCTGCTCCACACTCCTGTCTTATAGTGTGTGCGCATGCACGCGCGCCTCACACTCCTGCTGAGAGCTGCAGTTAGGAGTTAGTTCCACCATGTGGATTTTGGGGATTGCACTGAGGTGACCGGCCTTCATGTGGCAAATGCCTTTACTGTCTCCCCAATACAAGTACTTTTTCATTTCTGTAATTTTTCACTTGCCTAACATTTTCCTTAGGCTACTTCCCATGACCGTGTTTTTCTTCAGGTTTGGAGTCACAGTGTCATTCCCAGAGCATCTGCATAGCTTTCTGTTGCTGCTGTAATGGAGCACTGTGCACTTGGTGGCATAGCAATGGCAGTTCACGGCTCTTGAGAGCAGAACTCTGACCTAGTTCTATCGGTGTTAGCTGGACTGAATTCTCTTCTAGGTGCCATAGAGGTGCCTGGTCCCTCCTTCTAGAGGATCCTAGAAGCTGCCCATATGACTCAGCTTGTGTGGTCTGAGCTCCTCCACCTCCTAACCTGCCTCCTGTTATCCACCCCAGCATTTTGCTGTGGCCTCTGCTGACACACCCACACCTGTCTCCAGGCTGGCACACACACACACCTGTGTCCATGCTGACACACACACACACACACACCTGTCTCCAGGCTGACACACACACACACACACACACACACACACACCTGTCTCCAGGCTGGCACACACACACACACACCTTTGTCCATACTGACACACACACACACACACACACACACACACACACACCTGTCTCCAGGCTGGCACACACACACACCTGTGTCCATGCTGACACACACACACACCTGTCTCCAGGCTGGCACACACACACCTGTCTCCGGGCTGGCACACACACACACACACACACACACATACACACCTGTCTCCAGGCTGACACACACACACACACACACCTGTCTCCATGCTGACACACACACACCTGTCTCCAGGCTGGCACACACACACACACACACACACACACACACACCTGTGTCCATGCTGACACACACACACACACCTGTCTCCGGGCTGTCACATTTGCTTTGGAGGAGAACTGTTGTTTGTGACTGATACTGAGAGTGTGGTAGGAAGCACTGACTCTAGACAGGGACATTTTTTAAAAGCAGTGGGAGTAAAGGGACCCGCTCACTTTGCCATGTGTAAGAGGGGCTCATGGGAGCAGAGTCCACAGATTCTCTGTTAGTCACGTTTCTCATGTGTGACCAAACACTTAATGGGAAGCAACTCAAGAAAGTGTTCATTTTGCCTGCCACTCTGAGGGCACAAGCCAACAAGATGGGATGGTACAGACAATAGGAGGGTGAGTTAGTTTGTCTTTCTCTCTTTATTCAGTCCAGGACCCCGGCCCATGGGATATAATTTCAGTTAGTGTGGGTCTTCTAGAAACTTCCTTACAGACATGCCTGAAGCCTTGTCTTCTAGGTGTCCATAATGCTCTAGTTTTCTTTCTGTCACTGTGATAAACATCATGACCCAAAGCAACTCAGGGGAGGAAAGAGTTTATTTGGATTATACTTCCAGGTCAGAGTCTAGTATTGAGGGAAGTCAGGACAGGAACCGAAGACAGGGATCTGGGGACAGGAACCATGAAGAGAATGCTGCTTGCTGGCTTGCTCTCTGGCTCATTTGTTCATGCTCCGTTAATTTACCTATAGAGTCCAATCGATCTGCCTAGGGATGGTGCTACCCACAGTGGACTGGGTTCTCCAACATCAATCACAGTCAGGACAACTTCTCACACCCAATGCTGCCAAGTCCCCCCTCCCTCTGCATCTGCTATGATAGACTCTGCCCTGTGGAACCATAATCCAAAAAAAAAAAAAAAAAAAAAAAAAAAAAAAAAAAAAACCCTCTTATCTTCTTTGAGTTGCCTTTTGCTGTTGTTGTTGTTTTTTGAGACAGAGTTTCTGTGTAGCTTTGGAGCCTGTCCTGGAACTAACTCTTGTATACCACGCTGGTCTCGAACTCACAGAGATTCACCTGCCTCTGCCTCCTGAGAGCTGGGATTAAAGGCGTGTGCTAATACCACCTGGTTCCTTGACTTGCCTTTGGTCATGGGGTTTAATCATAGCAACAAAGAAGTAACTAGTACAATACCCAAGATATTATCTGTATGTGACACAAGGTAAGATCGCAGTAGCGTTTTTCAAGAAAATGTAACGAAGGCCAATGTGATGGAGCTTGTAGCATGTACCATCATGCCACACTCCCTAGAGCATAAAGATGAGCAGGATGTAGCTTGGTGCCTTACGGAGTTCACTGACATAAAATCAGCTTTGACTCCCAGTGGACATCGACTCTTGGTGGCTCAGTATTTAGAGCAACGGTATTTACTTAATTAATTTCTCCTAATACTTGCATTTTGGGGGTGGGGTAGATGAGACAGGGTTTCACTGTGCAGCCCTGGCTGTTCTGGAACTCACTCTGTAGACTAGGCTGCCTCGAACTCACAGAGATCCTGCTTGCTTCTGCCTCTCCAGATGCTGGGATTAAAAACGTGTGCTACCACTGCCTGGCTAATACTTGCATCTTAACTATTAGTATAGAGGTTCCCAGGCTTTAGCTCAGACCTCCTGAGCTAGAATCTCTGGGAGAGAATCCCTGGAATCCACGGGGCAGTCTTGATGCTAACAAGTGAACTCCTTCGGGCGAGTCTGAAGCCTGACAGGATTGTGTTAGGGCTGCTGAAGACACCTAGCTCTTGGCCATTCATTCCTTGGTCAAGATGTGATGTTTGTGTTGGTGTATGGGATGGCCCATCACCTCAGCTGTGTCTTAGAAGGCACAACTCGACTTTCCAGCAGCTGCTCTAAAATCCTCACACCCTTACTTAGAAGAACACTCTCCATTTCACAGCTCCAACAGAGAGGAGTCAAACTGCACTACCATCCACACGCGCATTGCAGAGGATTGGCTGGACTTCACATTCACCTGTGAGGGCAGCTGCCAGGACCAGGGTGGGTATCCCTGTCTGCAGGTGTTCGTAAATCTCACCCACTCAGGCCAGAAAGTGCTTCTCCACTACGACGATGAGGCCGTCAGAAGCAACCCCAAGGTAACGTGGATCTGACAACTCAAGAGTTCTCTCTGCTGCCCTTCCATAGTACTGGCCTGGGTGGGGCACAAGCCATCCATGGAAAGCCAGCTTCCTTCTAGCGAACATTGTCTTCTTTGGAGGGTGTGGGGCATGTTCCCAAACTTGCTATATAGCCAAGAATGACATTGATCTTTGGAATCATCTAGCTCTGCCTCCCAAGTACTGAGATTACCAAGTCTTGTTAGAAGTGGCTGAGGATTGAGCCAGGAATGTGTATGAGAGGCAAGGGCTCCACCAACTGAGCAAAGCCCCAGTCCCTTCAGAATATGTTCACAGTATTTCATCAGGATAGAGGAAGCTGCAGCAGTCCTGGAGAAATGGAGTACATGGACAGGAGAGGTACATTTCAGCTCCTGGTTCAGTGTGAAGTCCTAAGCAGGCAGTGTCTCCCCACTGTATACCTGGTTAGAATGAATGAATGAATTCAGTCTTCCTTCAGCCAAGCTGGTAATTCTTTTTTTTGGGGGGGGGGATGAAAAGACAGGAATTCTTTGGGTAACTCTGGCTGTCCTGGAACTCATTCTGTAGATCAGGCTGGCCTTGAACTCACAGATTCACCTGCCTCTACCTCCTGAGTCCTGGGATTAAAGGGGTGCGCTACTACCACCCTGTGGTAATTATTAAGACATCTGAAGAACTTAAGAGTTTGAAAAATTCCACCACTGGTTCATGTGATTTACAGTTCATAGTTACATATAACTATAAAGGTTTTATTAGATGACATGCTATAACTTAGTGTGGCTGGTGATTAAACAATCTAATGATTTCTGGTTTTCTATTTTGGATGCAGTCATTTCTAAAGTCACACACTAAAATGTGTGTGTGTGTGTGTGTGTGTGTGTGTGTGTGTAGACACGTATGCCATGGGGTATAGAGGTCAGAGGATAACTCACAGGCATGAGTTCTCTCCTTCCACCATGTGATCCTGGTAATAGAACTGAGGGGTCAGGCTTGGCAGCCAGCACCTTTGCTGCTGAGCTATCTCCCTTGCGCCATGTCTCACATTCCTGTAGTGTCCTCAACATGGAAGCCCAGTAGCTAACAGCCATGGTCATTTCATTCTGTGCCTGCTGCCAACCTCTCCCTTCTCTCCACACTATGTGAGACGACTGTGCTCTATACCATGACCCCTTAGCACAGCATCAGCCTGCAGCCCTCATTGCTGGCCACTGTTGAGAGTGCTTTTTCCCTCCCCCAACCTCCCAGTGCTTTTACACGCCCAAGTGTCACCGAGACAGGACTGATCTGCTCAACAGTGCCCGGGACATCAAGGAATTCTTCGATCACAGAAATGAAACTTTCACTTGCTTCTACAGTCCCGACGGCCAGATGGGAGTTGTCCTGAGGAAGTCCGGCCACAAGGTTGTTTTTCATTGCTTATTTTGGCCTTTACTGACTTTGCTGGGCGGGGCCCTGATTGTTGGCTTGGTGAGGCTGACACAGCATCTGTCCCTTCAGTGTGAACAGTACAGCGCGGTGCTGAGAGTTCAGGCAGGAGGCAGAGCACCTTCCATGGGCAGGCGCAGGGCTTCGCTGTGCAGTGTGGCACAGAGCCAGGGGAAGAGAGAGCAGAGGAGGCGGCCCCAGCTCTCCCACCAGGAGAGGCTCCAGCTGAAGACTTGAGCAGTGCGGGGTATGGTCAAGCAAACTTGTGATCCCAGCACGTGGGAGGCTGTTGCAGAAAGATCAGGTTCAAAGTCAGCTTGGGCTATATACAGATCTTGTCTAAGAAAAACCTAGCTGGGGCCATAGCTTCCAGATAGAACATGTGCCTAACATGCACAAGGCCCTGGATTTGATCCCCAGCACTAAAACCAGCCATGTCTGCGTACAAACCTGGTGTGTAAAGGACAAAGGTGGACCCCACAGCTTTCCACATGAGTCTTCAGATGCTCACTGTTTTCTATCTATTCTGAAAACATGTAGTTTCAACAGTTTCTCTTTTTCAAGTCTTCTTCACATGAGCCCAGGAAGCACTTTTCTTCTCAGAGGCAAAATAAATTCAAGGCAGTTCTCTGTGTAACCTCAGTTCTCCGTGGAATGTGCTGGCATGGGAGGCGTGTAAGAAGCCATCACTGAGTCTATCTGTTGGGCACTCAAGTGACAGCATGTGCAGTTCACGTGAAAACATTTCTCATAGAAAAAGGTACTGGGAGCTAGAGAGATGGCTCAGTTGGCAAAATGAGAACCTGAGTTTGATTTCTCAGACACATACAAAACAAAACAAGCAAGCAGACAAAACAACAAAGACCAAACAGGCCAGGCCTCATGACCTGCACCTGAAACCCCAACACTGAAGAGCTGGAGACAGGTGACAGCTAGATAGCAAATCTGTGAGCTCCAGGTCAATGAGAGACCCTGCCTCAAAAACCAAGATGGACAGCAACTGAGGACAGCCACCTGAAGTTGCTCTGGTCGCCACACACCAACACGTGCATGCAGGCATGTGGACAGCATACATACACATACTCACAGCCAGCAGTTCATTTACTGTAGATTAAAAACTTCCCAAAATGTCCGAAAACCCAAGTCTGCCACATTTACAGCAGTTCCTTCTTCCTGAACTCTTCATTCCAAGAAGAAAGCCGCTGCCTAGAAAACCCAGCTTACACTTGCTTGTACTTGACCTTGTCGTGAAGCAGCTCTCTTTACTTTGTGGAATTTCCCGTTAATTATCCTTTCCCTAAGTTCCTTTCAGTCTCTGTGGGAATGGGAGAAATGACAAGCGTGAAGTAAGCTGTACCCAAGTCCAACATCCACCTCAAATAATGCATACTGTGGAATGGTCCTGCTTGGGCAGTCAGTGCTCTAACAGAATTGGCCTGGGGGGGGGGGGAGGGCTCAGCAGTTAAGAATGCTTACTTCTGCTGGGTGGTGGTGATGTACGCCTTTAATCCCAGAACCTGGGAGGCAGAGGCAGGTCAATCTCTTGAGTTTGGTCAAGAGCCAAAGGCCAGCTTGGTCGAGGACAGTCGTAGCTACACAGAGAATCCCTGTCTAGAAAAACAAAACAAAGAAACAAACAACAAAAAAAGAACTCTTGCTTCCTAGCACCCACAAGATGGCTCACAACCATCTGTAATGTCAGATCCAGGATATCTAATACCCTCTTCTGGCCTTTGCAGCCACTACACAAGTGTGATACAGGCAAAAGACTCATATACATAAAAGTTAAAAAAAAAGGCCGGGCGTTGGTGCCGCACGCCTTTAATCCCAGCACTCGGGAGGCAGAGGCAGGCGGATCTCTGTGAGTTCGAGACCAGCCTGGTCTACAGAGCTAGTTCCAGGACAGGCTCCAAAGCAACAGAAAAACCCTGTCTCAAAAAACCAAAAAAAAAAAAAAAAAAAAAAAAGTCAAACAAGGTGACTATATAAATGTCACAAGACTTCCAGCAAGGCCTTCCAGCTTAAGATGAGCATATGAGCTGAGGAGCTCACTGTTTTTCCAAAGCACCTCAACGCATCTTTACAGTTCCACACACAAAAATGAACACCCTTCACTGTAGACAACAAATTGAGACTTTTGAAACCACTTTTGAGGTGTTGATGGAATCCAAGTCACACCTGATTCTAAGCCAGTTTAAAGCGTGTTCGTAAATTCAAGTCACCAGTTAGCAAAGTGGCTAAGCCAGCAGAGTGACAGCTATAGGCAATGAGTCTTGGTGTCTCACCTTCTCCCTGCTGTGGGCTTTCCTTCCATCCATAGCTTCTCGGGGTGGGATTCGGGAAATGTGTCTTTTGATGATCTCCAGGCATAAAGACGGGGTGTGTGAAATAGCAAGCTTAGTTTTGGATAACTAAGAATTAATGGAGAGTAGCTGTGAAACCCTTGTGCTGAGCTGCAGCAGCCTACTCGGTCACGCTTGGTGGCAGTGGCAAGCAGGTAAACTCTGAGAGGTGTCCCTCTGCTTCCCCGCCCTCGTCCCTTGGTTAACTGATCTGCTGTGTAAAGGCTGGGAATACTATGTTGTATACCAAACCTCCCCAGAATGAAATACACAACTATGCATGTCCAAGAAAACTGTAAATGGAGATTGTCATTTTCTCAAATTAAAGATAAATCTCAAATCCATTTCCTAGTGAACTGGACTTCCAAATTACCAATGCACAGTTTTGTGCTTCCCCCACCATGCTCAACATAGAAGTGTCAGGTGTGTTTCCCCAGAGGTTTCCCAAGCAGTGACTACTGGACCATCCCCGGGAAGACAGACATGAAGCTGGAGAAGAGTCAATTTGAAGCTCAAGCCATTCAGCAGTCCAGTAAATTAAAGCAGCAGCAGGCTTACTGTGGAAGCAGGAAGCATCGATGCTCATGTCGTTACCAAAGGCAGCTTACCTTCGGCACCGTTTATAATGGGCAGGGGGCAAAACAGTTTGCTTCTACACTGACTTCATGTACAGACTCTAGTTCCTAACAGACCTAAGAAAACGGTCCATTTCCTACCCATTTCCACACATATACTCACACCTACTCCTATGTATGTAAATATCAGCTTGAACCACAAGTACTCAGGTCTCAATTTTTCTTGTTTTTACTACTGAGAACTGAACCTAAAGCCTTATGCACTACAGCACACATGCTCTATCACCGGGTGATACTGTGACCGCTAGCATACTAGCCAAGGGATGTAGGAATACTCCTTGATGCTTCAGAGAGAGCAACATTCGTTTCTCTAGTACTTAATGCCAGGGCAGAAAAAAAATTTGAGTTTTCTTTTTCTTCTAGACAGGGTTTCTCTGTATAACAGCCGTGACTGTCCTGGAACCTGCTTTGTAGACCAGGCTGATCTTGAACTCACAGAGATCCTCCTGCCTCTCCTTCCAAGTGCTGGGAATGCCACCATGCCTGGCTTGACTCAAGGTTTTTCAATCAAATATTCGTAGTAATTACGTAGCAAACTCAAATCTAACAACTCCATTCATAGCAACACTAGTTTGCCTTTGAAGAGAGACAGCAAGAGGGATTCTCACAGCTCTTGGCTTACACCACATGCTAAGCACCATTTGGACACAAGGTAAGTTTTCTTTCTTCTTTAATGAACATGATGGTACAGACTGTGCAGTTAGGGACAAGCGGACATTGACAGTGGTGATTAGCGCAGCCAGTGCAGTCACAGGCTGAACTCCTTGCTGGGAACAGTATGGCAGAAGAGGTCTCCAGTTTAGTGAAGTGCAGCTGTCTATATTCTAAGCCAGTGGTTCTCAACCTTCCTAGTGTTGTGACCCTTTAATATATATAGTTCCTCATGTTGTGGTGACCCCCAACCGTAAAATAATTTTGATACTTTATCCTGTAATTTTTCTATTGCTATGAATCATAACACACGTCTGTGTTTTCTAGTCTTAGGCGACCCCTGTGAAAGGGGCATCTGATCCCAAAGGGGTCGCGACCCAGAGGTTGAGAACAGCAGTTCTAAGTAAGAAGCAAATGGAGCTTCGTTGTGCTGAGTACTTCTAAGGCAAGGATTACAAGAACACTAACAACGTCTCTTCTTTCTGTGTAAGCCCTGGCTGGCCTGGAACTGTAGACCGGACTGGCCTCAAACTCAGAGAGATGTGCCTACCTCTGCCTTCCAAGTGCTGCCCAGAAAGAATGTTTCTAACTAGTTCCTCTTACACAGAACCTCAACTCACTGACTGAACAAAATGGAGAGAAACCATCTGGCTGAGAAGGGAGGGACAAGTTCCTCGCACAAGTGGTGTGCAGTCATCTTTTTGTAGTGCTTTATTCCAAGGTATTAAAGTATTATATTTGAAAGCAATGCATTCTTTTAGATTTTATTTAACCAAGCTAAGTCCAAAGACTGAATGATAACAAAACCATCAACTGCATTTGAAACCTGGATTCTTGGAGCCTGGGGGGAGAGGGGGTGCATATCACCTGTATCCTCAGTGCTATGGAGCCTGGGGGGAGAGGGGTGCATCACCTGTATCCTCAGTGCTATGGAGCCTGGGGGGAGAGGGGTGCATCATCTGTATCCTCAGCGCTGTGGAGCTAAGACTAGAGGATCTTAAGTGTGAGGGCAGCCTGGGCTAGACAGTTAAGACTTTGTGCCACCAAATGACAAAACCCTAAAAAAGTACCATCACCACAACAAATTCCTTTGGGTTCCATAATCAAAAACATTCCTAGAAATCAGATAAAAGCTACTTTTCCCAGACAGTCTTAAGAACATACATAAAACCTGACTATTTTTTTTCTTATGAACCAACAGAAATAACTACATTTGAAAATTCATACTCAAAAGTTTTAGAGACCAAATATCCTAGGATGGCTCTGAACTTACTAATGCAGCTGAGGATGACCTTGAACTTGTGATCTTCCTGCCTCGACCTCCCTAGTGCTGGGGTTACAGGGGAGTGCCATCATTCCTTTTATACAGTGCTGAGGCTCAGGCCCAGGACTCCATGCAAACTTGTCAGGCCCTCCAACAACTGAGCCACATTCCCATACTTCAAGAGGAAACACTGCAGGTTGTCTGCCTCCTTGCTAAACTAGATCCACAAAAAACAACACCTAGAAATACACATCATTCTGCCACACCATTATTACTGTGACACATTAGATGAGGCTAAACAAAGTCTTCTTGGCTTATAAAATGTTTTTTCTTTTTTTATTTAGTAAGATGAAGAATGGAGTCTATCGTTAGCAGTGAAAATCAGCCTATGAGTACACTATGAGATTCATTTTAATTCTGCCCGCCAAACACTTTTTTTCTGATACCTGAGAGAGAATCCCCTTCCAGTTCCATTCCCACAGCTGAGACCCACCATACCCAAAAGCCAAGCAAAAGAAAAGGCACTACATAGTAAGACGGAGGTGCACAACCTCCACCAAATGAAGATTCCACACAGACTCATTCAAGAGTGCCACTACAGCCTGGGGGACTCCTAATAACCTCAAGGCCCTTCTGAACTTTAGAACCTTTTTCTATGTGTTAGCCTGTGCTAACAAAACAGTAAGAGAGTAACCGAGCTGTGGATGCCAGACTCAAGAACTAGCATCACAGGCTGCCCTGACTGTATGGCTTTGGAGTCATGAAATTTTAGCACTCCTGAGCTGTAAGGTATGCCAAGTCTGACTTGCAAATATAAAAATGGCAGAGCCCTACAGAGTCTCTGTGTTGTGAGACCTGAGGCACAGAATGGCAACTTAGCTTACCCCCCTTATGAGCCTTTGGAGATAAAGGCTGCCCAGGGCATGACACAGATCGGCTCAGTCTTACTCACTGCAATGCTTTTTTTCTGTTTACAACAGCTCAGCTGTACTGCTCTGCCACCAAGAGTCACTAATTAAAGATGCTGTCAAGATTGAGATCAGCCTTCCAAATTCCGAGCTGGATGTGATTCTAGTATGTGCAAATCATCCCCATAACTTCCAGCCCCTCCGAGCTTCCCCTGCTCAGACCCCTCCATCATCCCCCTCCCCAAACATCTGGAGCAGAAGCAGCACAGCCCCCAAATCCACAAACCGCCTTTGAACTTGCTGCTTTGGCGATGTCATGGACATCAGAATAACTCTTAAGGTGGATTCTTGAGTGTGTGGGTCCAGCCCAGGTCTGCAGTTTGCAGGGACATAGAAATAAGTGGACACTCTAACATTCAGAAAAGATTAACATACTAGGTGTAACATATTGCTGGAAATTACATTTCTCCTAAGAGCTGGCAGGCATGGACTTGTGACCAAACTACAAATCAAACAAATTGACAAAAAGTATGCTAAGGAACGACCCGAGGTTCATGTGCTGTGAGGTTTCCACTGTACCCTTAAGATAGGCTCCTCATCTTTTCTGTAATGCCATTCATCTCCTGATGGGCACAGAACACACATGGGCTGTGCGCTACCTATGATGATTACCAACCAGTTTAAGATAAAGTTCAAGGGGACATATACATCTAACCAAGTAATTATTTCCTGATTAATAAGAACTACACTTTACACAAAATACTTTATCAGCAGCTGTTTTCATCAAAAAAAAAAAAAAAACCAATAGTCAGTTTCACAGTTGAAAAAGTTACACATTAAAATATTTTACAATTCATTATATATTCCCCAGGCTCCCATTTCCTGATGGGCAGTAATATAAAGCAGAGTAGAAGGGACAACCTTAAGTCTGATGACTCTGACACCAAGTTTTACAGAGGACACGAAGAACCACAAAGTCTCAGGTTCTACGATAAAATAGCAACCAGATTCCATTCTTCTTGTAAAAACTCTAATTAGAAACATCTTTAAAAACAAACAGAAAGCAAACAAACAGACAAATCAAACTCCACAGTAAGATGAACAGATTTCAAATTAACAGCAGTCTAAAAATCTTCCAACTAAAGGTCTCGCATCGCTGCGATGGTAAGAAGTGAAAGCATGACGGAAGTTACTTCTTGCTACAGTGTAGTTTCTTTAGGTTTGCTTTCTTTCCTTCCAGAAATAATCACTGACGAAACATCCTCAAGTGACTTAGTGAGATTATGGAGCCAAAGTCAAGATTGACACAATATTCAATGACAAGGATAGCCATTTACAGAGGTGATTGCTCCGCAGGTCCTTCTGATTCTCAAGCACCTGGGAGTGGCACATTATTGCTTGCTGAAAACAGATTCTCATCACCCCAGTTTCGATTTGAATTTTAGTCCTTTGTCTTTTTTTTAATACAAATCATTCTCCTTTCTTTCTTTATATATATCCTTTATAGAACATAGATTTTCTATCAGTACAATTAATGTGGTTGTCAATGGCATAATAAGCTATGTGGTTGTGTTTTAATTGTGCAGAGACTCTAGAAGGTGGTAACTACTTGAACTAATGCAGGAAAAAAAGGCAAAAACTACCAATTTTGTGCAAGGAGGCTCACGGCTTTTGTTTTTTGTTTTTGTTTTGGCACTCAGGAAAACACAGTTCTTTTTGTAATTCTTCAGTTTCCACCATCAGAGCTGTAGATTTGTACCATGTCACTGAGTTTGACTGTAATAATCCCTGATATAGAAAAGAATGGGATGTTAGTACCTAGCAACTGCATATCTAAGTAACACAAAGTGTTAAATGCCAAGTAAATAAGTTAGGAAGTTTTCTATATCTGCAAAAGAATCTATCTGGTTTTCTGCTTAAAAACAGTTTAAATTCTGATTAACTATTCCAAGACAGTTTACAGAACTAAGTTCCCCTAATCTTCAGGTTTTCTTGTTGGCAATAATATATACATGCTTTAGTGAAGTACCTAAATCTTCAATAATTATGCCCTTTAAGGGTTCTAAAATAGCCAGATATTAAGAGTATTTTTATTAGAGTCCCATTTACTATTCAAAACTTCTACTCTAGGTGTCTGACATCACAGACGAGCGCTTCAAAGGGATGCTGTTGTTCTAGAGTGTACAGTGTGCACTCTTCATAAAGAGGCTCTCCAGGAACACGCCTAAGCTAGGAACTGTCAGGAAATTATTGCACATTTTTTCTTTTTTTTCTTTTTATTTATTCTTTTTTTTCGCTTTTTTTCTTTTTTTCTTTTTTTGGTGTGGCATCTGAACATCTGCTAAAGCTATTTTCTAGGACAGGAATCATTCAAACACTGGGTAGAAATCTAGAGTGACCACTAACATTAGCCCTACATCTTAGATGGATGATTTCAAAATGCTCAATAACGCACTCTGTGTGGGATGTAATAATGAAGTTGGAGTGAGACCTGACCACTTTGAAATGGGACATGATAGTAAAATGGGTTAATGTCCTTACTTTTATCATTGAGATATGAATACATAGCTTACGAAGGTAAAAAAATTCATGGTTTCTAGTCTCTCATAATATAAAAGTCATTCATGACCAGTCCTCAGTAGAGGGCTTAAGAGTCAGGATGATAGTCTACTTTGTATTCATCTAGTAACTGGTTTCAGAGGGTTGTGCCATTCTCAACTATAGATGGATGGACGATGAGGGCCTCGGGTGAAAACGGACAGCAGTGGAAGGAAAGCATGTGCAGCTCAACCCGTTCTTAGGGAGTCATACAGGGGGATCTGGATAAATGGAATAGTGCCTGAGCCTCATCTACAGACCAAGAGAAAAGCTAACCATGCTGTTACCAACGATAAAAAATTTGGGGTGCAAAACAATGCATGACTATGGGACAGATTATGTAAATAAAGAATATATATTAATGATAGTTTCTATAATATAAATAGCCTTTAATAAAAAAAAATAATCTTTTTAATAACATTAATACTCACTTCTATTTTCTGGAAAACATGCATGAAAAAAAGTACTCAGTTCAATTGCAAAGGAGAAACAATCAGCTCAAAGTGAATACTGTACAGGTCAGAAACAGGAGCCCTGCTGGCCTCCTCTAGATCACTGCTGTACTTGATGCCAGCCCAGAATTTCCCTAGGAAATAAGTCAGATCCTTGTAAATACTGTCCAGAAAAAAACAACAAAAACCAAAACCCAACAAGAACACAGCTGTCTGCAGGTTGTCACTTGTGACTGCTTTCCAAACCACAGGGGGAGAGACCAAGTCCATCAAAGGGCTGTGTGTTCAGAGCAAAAAGCGAGCCCCATCACCCCAAGTGTTGTTCGTCAGTAAGCCGGGAGTCAAACCCCACTTCAAACCGTAAGTCTGAACAGCAACGGGAAAATAAGCATTTCCATTCTTCTCCAATTTCATTTACTTAATATAAACTCCAGCTGACTCAGACCTAAAGCAGTCACAGCCTCGGTTTTGTCCACATTGTAAACAGAACCCTGGCAAGACAAACGGAACAGCATTCTCTTTTCGTCTCCATCATTTGTATGTATTTTGGGGATTTTTGTTTTGTTTTGTTTTTTTAAAAAAAGATACAAACAATCTTCAAAGTTTACCTTTTTTTGGACTTAAGGCATAACATGAAATTGCTCGTTATTCTAAAGCTGGATTCTGAGATGAACTAGTTTAGTGCTATCGAACCCTGTTTGCGTGTACAGTGTTTCAATTATAGAGCATGTTGTTCCTGACTGTGCCATCCCCGTGCCACCATCTGCCTGTTGTCACTCACTGCCATGCAGTGGAGAAACAATGCGCCAGCTTGCAGTTCCCAGCTCCCATCTCAGTTCAAGGCATGCTGCTTGATGGTGTGGAAGATCCAATCCATTTTTGTCGTCCAGCCGCCGTGATGTGCGTCATTCATTTGTTTGGTGAAATACTCCAAAGCCTCTTGCTCAGTTTTGTCTAAGGCTAGAGTCTTTCGAATATACGCAATGTCATCAAAAGACTGCAGTTCTGGCATTCCAGAGCCAAGCATCATTGAGAAAAGGTTGATGAAGAGATTGGCATGCTGCCGAATGGCTAGGTAAGCCTTATAACACATCTCCTGAAACCTGCAAGTGGGAAGAACATTTGGTCAGTGCACGAACTAGTACTGACTTCACAGAATTAGCACACTTGCCTTGGGTGAAGGTCTAAAAACTACTATTCCTCTCCCCGCTCCCCTGGCTCACACCATTCTAGAATGTGTACTCTTGCATAAGTACTTTATTGCCTGCCAAGCACCTGACATACTGCTTGGAACACTGCGGTTTAGTATTTATCAAATGCCTGAACTGGTCTATACTAAAGTAACATCTCAAGGGTTTGGGCACTGACTTATACACAGAACAGAATCTTAAAAAAACCTTTTGAAATCTAAGACAGACTAACAATGTAGCACAAGGTGGCAGGAAAAAGAATAAGCATGCATAAGAGTTAACAGTTTGCCAGCTTTCCTCCAGTTAGGACCAAAACCCACGTCCTAACCACACTACATGTTTTTGACAAGATAAAGTTAATTACTTTAATAATAGTCATTAATTTCAGTGTGTCCTAAGGTTTTAGGGTTACTTTCTTTGTAGGTCTCACTTAGCTCGATGAACGAAATCAGTTTTCATTTTCACCCCCCTTTTCCCCCCTTCCCCCATATCAGACAAATGAGTAAAACCAAAGCCGCTGGAGCCTTGGGCTTCTCCAGCTGACAACCGCTGCTCTGAAGCACAGAGTGTAGACCTGCTGTGCTGCAGGCACCTCCCCACCAAGGTCTCTGAGCTCACCTCTCAAACTCTCTGGTCTTTGTGTACTCCTGGGCTCCTTTACTAATCACTATTAAGAAATCTTGAGTCAAAACAAACGGCACACGTTCCCGTTTATAACCAAATTTTTTCTTCTTGTGATCCAAAAAGTGCCCAAAATCTATATGAAACAGCTTTCAGAAATAAGAAATTATATTTTAGTTTAATATACAGATATAAAAGACCTTGAGCCAATTCATTTAAAGAACCCGAAAGCACGTTAACAGTTCCTACCTGTCCATCGTCCTTCACCATGATGTTGCTATTGTGCCGGTCTCCAATTCCCAAGATGAAAGTTGCCACACAGTACCCAGCACACGACCTTGTGAACAGGTCAATGGCTGCGTCGTATCTACAGAAAGAAATAAACACCTCATGGGTGTTGTGGAAACAGAGTAGCTGGGGAAAGAGAGCTGAAGTTTCACATTAACATTGGGGGAAAACAATGTCTGAAGACCTGAGAAGTTCTGAGATTTTTAAGTTTTCAGGAAAATTTTTAAGATGTTCCTTGACCTAAGCTTAATTCTAACCAGAAGCAAAGAAACATCCATCATAATTGCCTCCCCGTGGTAGGTGTGTGCATGTGTCAAGGTCAGAGGTCAACACTGGTGCCTTTTGTTACTCGCCATCTTATTCATTTAAGGATTCTGACTCATGTGAATTTTGTATGACTGGATCCACATCTGTGGGGGTCAAAAGAGGGTGGATCCCCGGAGCTGAAGATGAGTGGCACAATGTCAATGTGGGCGTGTCCTCTGGGGGAGCAGCGAGAGTCCTTAACCTCTGAGCCCTCTCTTTAGCATCTCTCCACCTTAGTTTCTGAGACAATGCTTCTCACTGAACCGGGACTCACTGCTAGCCAGCCCCTAAAGACAGAGCTGTCTCTGTCTTTAGGGGCTTCCTGCCTCAAGCCTGCCTCCAGGCTGAAGACCTACATCACAAAGCTTTATAAGGGTGCTAGAGATTGAATTTTGGTTTTTATGCTTGTGCAAAAGTAGGTCATCAACTGAGTCACCTCTCCAGCCCCCAATTTTTCTGTTATTCTGAGATAGGATCTTACACTGCACCCAGGCTGGCCTTGAACTCACAGCATACAACAATCTTCCTGGGTTAGCCTCTTGGGTGCTGGGATAAGCCACAATCTGCAGGAGAAAATTAATTTTTTTAAAGGGTCTCACTATATAGCCCTGGCTAGCCTGGAACTGACTATGTAGTCTAGGCTGACCTCACATTCAAGAGAGATCCACCTGCTTCTGCCTCTGCCTCTCTGTGTAGTTTAGGCTGGTCTGCTACTTAAGGATCCACCTGCTTCTGCCTCTTAAATGCTGGGATTAAGACATGCGCCATTATTGATAGTGTTGAAAATTATTTTCTAAAACAACATTTTTAACATATTAGAAGTAAAAATTTGAATGTATATTATTTTTTGAGTAAGATCTATTCTACTTTTAAGTATCTATCCATGCATGGGCATGTAGATCCAAGTGATGGTGTCCTGGAGACAAAAACAGGCCACCAGACACCCTGGAGGTGGTCTAAGGCACCCCATTATGGGTTCTGGGGGCTGAACTTGAGTCCTTCAGGAAAGGAACAGGCACTCTTAACTGCTGCACCACCAAATGTTCGTTTTGTTTATGATTAAGAGTAAGAGGATGTGAGATACAAGGTGAACGATGGGGACCCATCAAATCATAAGCAACCCTCTCGCTCATTCACAACAGCCTTCACTACTTCAAAAGGGACGTGCATTTTTCCTGACCACAGTGGTTTTCTCCTTAGCCAAGAAGTCCACTGAGCCAGCCACTAGCACGGAACAAACTCAGGAGCAAACTCACATCTCGCCCTTGTTCTTGTCCTTGAGCCACTGATGCAGAGTGTGACTGTTGAACTGCAGCGCCCCCTTCAGGCCTCCTTTGCACTGGATCTGCATGATGGTGTGAGAATTCCTCACCACTTCGATGAGCCCCACACAGTCCCCAATGGAGAGACAGCCGTAAGGTAGCATTCTGGAAAATTGACAAATGTTTTTGATTGAAATTAAATCCCCAATTCTCTCGCTTTCTTTAATCCTTTCATGCATAGTCCCTTGTTCTGTCTTAAATCCTGGCTTATTTCTTTGTTGATACACACATGCACGTACACAATCTTCCTAAATATGTAAGTACAACCTGTTCTCTATATACAAAATGTCACTTATATGTATGTTTTCAGGGCAGACCATTTGGTACTAAATAACCAAATGAGGGGTCTCTCCTGGGAAGACAGTCTCTCACTTTCAGATTTTCGTAGCTGTCCTTGGTCTTTGTTTAGGACTGAGGCCTCAGGTGACTTTCCTCTTCCATGTTAGCATGTCTACTGCTGCTGACATCTTTGTTCAATAAAACTGAAATATTCTAGTAGGCCAAAAATATCTATATTAAATTAGTAAATTTAACATGAATAATCTTTATTGTCTTAGCTTATTTCTCTTTATTTTCTTTTTTATATTGACAAACCTATTCCTAAAAATGTATGAGTTCAGCTAAAACCAAATCATTGTGTATTAACAGTTCATTTCATATGGAACAAAACAACTTATCCTAAAAAAGCAGTGAGGGAGGCTGGAGAGATAAATGGACCAGCTGTTAAGAGTACTGGTTGCTCTTTCAGAAGACTCGGGTTTGGTTCCCAGCACCCACATGATAGCTCACAGGCATCTGTAACTCCAGTTCCTGGAGACACTTCCAGGCATGCATGTGGTGCATCAACACACATGCTGGCAGAACACTTGTACACATAAAACAAATGAATGAAAAAAAAAGTGAAAAACTGGCTGTCACATTTTTTTTTCTCAAAATGTTGTTATGTCTGGGTTTGATGGCCAACTGTTTTTATTTGTGCCGGGCGGTGGTGATGCACGCCTTTAATCCCAGCACGTTGAAGGCAGAGGCAGGTGGATCTCTGTGAGTTCGAGGCCAGCCAGCCTGGTCTACAAGAGCTAGTTCCAGGACAGCTAAGGTTGTTACAAAGAGAAATCCCGTCACAAACAAACAAACAAACAAACAGACAGACAAACCCTGTCTCAAAAATAAAGATTTATTCATCCACTGATTATTTTTTTATTAATATTTATTTATTATGTATACAATCTTCTGTCTGTGTGTGCCTGAAGGCCAGAAGAGGGCGCCAGACCTCTTTACAGATGGTTGTGAGCCATCATGTGGTTGCTGGGAATCGAACTCAGGTCCTTTGGAAGAGCAAGCAATGCTCTTAACCACTGAGCCATCTCTCCAGCCCCTCCACTGATTATTTTTATGTGTATGTATGTGCCAGTGTGAGTTCACATGCATCGCACGTATGCATGAACATGCAGAGATCAGAAAAGGGCATCAAATCCCCTGCAACTTGAGTTACAGAGTTATGAGCTGCCACGTGGGTGCTGGGAACCCAATGAAGATTAGCAACTGCTATTAAACATCTCTCTAGCCCCATGCCAGCGGTGTTACTTACATTTTTATAAGTAACAGACACGAGCAGTTTTTCTTATGTTGATGGTTGTTATCTTTTTGAAACAAGGTCTTGCCTTGTGGTTTAGGCTGGCCTCAAACTCAAGATCCCCCTGCCTCAGCTTCCTGAATATATGGGTTACAGGTATATGTCATCACTCTTTAAGTTTTATACATGATGCTTTAATTAAGCACATGAAGTAAGATCTACATACAGGCAGGCAGCCAGGAAAAGGAAGAACAGAGTGATGTTTTTTTTTATACTATTCTATAATTAATAAGATATTCAATTTGCAATCTGAACTATAAAGCTGTACTAATAAATAATAAACTTCATGCTTTTACATCTAAATTGACTTGTGTCTGAATGTGTGCTTTAACATTAAGGACATTATGTGTTCCTGTACGCGTCATTTAGAAGATATCATGACTTGTAAGTTTCATAGATTTTCTAAGTGTTGGTTCTTTTTTTATAATGGCATAATAAATAATAAAATATATTAATTTTTTTTGGTTTGTTTTTTGAGCTATGGTCTTTCTGAGCAGCCCAGGCTAGTCTGGTACTCTTCCCTGTGAAGTCAAGTCAGCTGAACTCTTGCCAATCCTCCTGCCTTAGTCTCTCAAATACAGGGTTACAGGCATGCTAACCACGCCCAGTCACAGTTGTTAATGCTACCACTAATCTCATTCAGAAAAGTCTAAATTGGGGAATACTCATAAACAAGTTTTCTACAATTCTATTTTTTCCCTCTAAAATTCAAACTTTATCACTGGCAATACATACTGCCATAGTTTTCCTATTACAGACACGTGAGGGGGTTCATTTTTAATGAAAACACTCGCCAAAGAGCCTGAGTTACGCCTGTCCATTAGATGTTTCTGTTTTGGTGTTTTTGGAACAGGGATTTGCTATGTAGCCCATGATGGTCCTGGTCTTGTTAGGTAGTCAGGTTGGCCTTAACTGTGGATTTCCCTCCTTAATCTTCTGACTTCAGGGCTTAAATGCATGTACCTATACTTGGTCATCAGTTTGTTTTAAAATAAAAACGGTATTTCATGAAAAAGCGGCTAGTTTTACAACTTCCATCCAGAAATGCTCATCTGTGACCTAACCGTGTTTGGGATGCGGAAGAAGTGATTTTAGGGAGTTCTATCTTGTTATACTGAGTATTGAAAAGAGATAAGCAATGCCTGCAGTCAAGGTGGAGCCATGGCGCTGACAGATGCAGGGCTCTGGAGTGCTTCTCCTCTGTAGTCAAAGAGTTGAAAGGAGCTGGAGATCTGAAGAGAGTTTTGACATCAGACACGGAGATGCAGATCTGGAGTCTCCCTGCTGGTTTTCAGCCTTGCTTTGGTCCAGTATTCCCTGACTATGCTCCCTTCCTTCCTTCTAGAATGACAGGGCATACACTGTGCTATTTGAAAGCATGTCATCTTCTCTTTGATTTTACAGGGTTACAGTTAAGAGATTGGCTTTGCTCAGAAGAGTCTTTGGACTTTTAAACAGTACTGAGATGGTAAAAGACCATGGAGACTATGGGACTAAATGGATTTTGCATTCTGATATAACATATAAGCCTATGTGGACAGTGAGTGTACTGTGGTGTTTGGAAGGAGAACTACCCCTAGAGGCTCATATATCTGCATGCTTGGTCCCCAGTAGGTGAACTTGGGAAGGATTAGAGGTGTGGCCTTCTTGGAGGGGATGTGTAGTTGTGGGCTTTGAGGTTTCAAGAGTTCAGTGTCTCTCTGCCGGCTGGGAGGTAGGTAAGGATGTAAAGCTCTCAGCTACGGTTCCAGCACTCTGCCTGTCTGCTTTCTTTTTTGTGATGATAATTGAATAACCCTCTAAAATTGTAAGTTACAGCCCCCCCCCCCCCCATTAGGTGCTTCCTTTTGGAATTGTCTTGGCTGTGCTGTCTCTTCACAGTGACAGAGACCATGTCCACCAGACAAAAGCACTTCTGAGCGGACAGCTTCTCTTGTGTGACTTAAGGATTTGCAAGAATCAAGTCAGTGAAGGAAGTGCTATAAGCAGTAGTGACTATGAGAGCGGAACACATTCCGGCGATGTTAGAGGACGAGAACACAAGTGTCCATCAGAGAACACTGGATAGAACTGGAAATTGATAACAACTTCAGCTGCTTTCCTAAGTTTTGCCACAACGTTTAGTAAAAGGTAGAATTACTAAAGTTCTATGATGAAATTTGTTTCTGAACTTCAATATTCTTAAATTTCTATTTGTGTTTGTACGAATGCACAAAAATGTGGGTGGCTGTGGTCAAAGAGGGTACTGGATTCCCTAGAGCTGGAGTCACAGGCAGCTGCAAGCCACCCAATGTGGGTGCTCACAACCAAACTCCGCTCCTCTCCAACAGCCAAAGCTTATTCACCACTGGGCCACCTATGCAGCTTCATGTCTGAACTTTAATAAGCCTGCTCTACTGCTGGTGCCACTCCAAGGCACGGGCAGTCTTAGGGCACTCATGAGACTTAGGTGAGTCTCATCAGCTACGGGACCAAGCAAGAAAACAGATGAAAAGGCAATTAAGATCACCTCTTAATCACTACTGCACTTTTTTTTTTTTGATTTTGCAAATATTTTAAATATTAGCTTCTAGACTTCTACCATTAAGACTTTATTGGGCAGTAGAGGCACATACCTTAAATCCCAGTACTCAAGAGACAGAGACAGATGCATCTCTGTGAGTTAGAGGCCAGCCTAGTCTACAAAACAAAGATCTAAGACAGCCAAGAGCTGTTACAGAGAAACCCTGTCTCAAAAAAAAAAAAAAAAAAGATTTTCATTAAGACTTTTAGTTCATTCTCCTAAGATAATTTTCATTCCATGCTCTGATTACCTACCGAAGGTCAAGGCCTTGGTTTTGCCAAATGTTCTCCATAATTCGGATGATCTGAAGTGTTAACATATCTTGCCGCAAATCTGAAATTCAAAAATGTATAGCACACTTAATACCATATCAACACTTTTGTCAGAAAGAGCTATATTTAATCTTTAAAATAATTCAAAAGACAGCAATGTTTTAAGTTTTTAATCTACTTCTAAACTTTGCATAATCATCTGGGTAATGACAAGGTATTTAAAAAGTTCCAACTATATTTACAATATTTACCTTGTGTAGAATCCAGTGTGAGTGTGGCCCATGATGAAATGCTGGGGTCAAGAGCACTCACTGCTGGTGAATCTCCCCCATCCCCGCAGCCCCTTCTCAACATAAATTAGGGCCTTCTTTAAAACAGTCTCTCAGATGACTAAATACATTCTTTGTCTGGTGGTTCTTTCATTTTTGTCATTATCTGTTGAATATTCTTTGCCCAGTCATACTTTAAACTACAAGAGGCAGGCTCTGCCATGGTCCCAGGGTCCAGCACACAGAATAATTAAGGAATGGATGCTATGCAAGCTGCCCAAGCACACATGAAGTAAGCCAAGGCAGACACTGACTCCAGGGCTCCTGATTCTGAAGATCAACTTCAATTATGAAGGCTGACAGTCAGCTGGAGGTTAAGATTAGGTCCTGACAGATTGGCACCCATTCCCATAAGGACTTTTTTGAGATAACTTTTTTCTTTCTTTTTTTTTTGAAACACAGTCGCATGTAGCCCAGGCTAGCCTTAATTGGATATTTAGCTGTAGACCTTGAACATCTGGCCTTCACCTCTCAAGTGCTGCGATTATAGCTGTGTGTCAAACAACTTCGATGGAAAGACTTTTGCCAGAGTATCAGGACCACCTGTACTCATCTTAGTTCTGTCCTTTCACCCTCCTATAACGCCAGCTTTCCTCCAGTTCAGCCTCAGTACAGTTCAGGAGGATGGACCCAGCTTCAGCCACTTCTCTGGGGTCTCATTCTGTGTGATTTTTTAAGCATACAGATACACTTTCTTTCTCCTGTTAGTCTGGCTTCTGCTATTTTAATCTGTAGCCCACCCTAGGAATTAATGAGGGCAGACGTATGTCATTTTTTGCTTTCCTACTCACTGTGGGGTTAGGAAGGATTACTAGACTTAGAGTTACAAGGGTCAACCTTCAGTTATTTCCCTGGTTGCTAAGATATACGACAAGTGAGTTCCTTGTGGCAAGAGTCTACCTTCAAGTCAGATGAGGGGAGCTGAGAAGTATCTGCATATACCCACTCTCTTCAGGTCCTGAGTTCAAAGTCATTATAGCACAATATCCCATTTCCCAAAGTCCTCCACATGCACACTGCAAAACCCGAGGCATTTTAATATTCTCCACTTTATACAGCAATCCTTAAATGGCTCTCAAAGGTTCCCATGGTTCATAACTACCCCATGTGTAAAGACAGCGACATGCACTCAGCATGAGCTCATTCTCTCACCGTCGCCATTTTTAAAGATGATCTCATTGTTCTGAAACAGTAGCTCTGACATGATGTCTGGGTTCTCCCAATTCAACCATAGTGGCCTTTTTGCAGACGACATAATTCGACACTCTTCAAGCCTGTAAGACAGTTGAAGATCTTACCAGGCACCTTAGTTTTTTATACTTTTGGTCCTTTGGGTTTATTTTAAAGACATATACAATATAGCTTTTTGAAGTGTTACAAAAATTAAAACTTTTCCAAAGGAAAATAATCTTAAAAATGTTTACAAAAATTTTCAACCAATCTAAGAACACATCATTGGTTTTATATAGACCATTCCCACTTCTGTGTATGATATCACAACATCTAACCACAGAAAGATTTAAACTATTATCAAAGTAGCAGAAACTGATTCTAAATAAAGATAGGTCTGGTTGAGCCTACTTTAATATTATTTTACTATAGTTGTTTTACAAGAACTGGAGGAATGGATTTTGTTAAGACTTATTTGGAAAAGTACTTGTTTAAACATGACAATAAAGGACATAAAAACCTTACCTGAGGTTCCCTAGTTGATGAGCAGGGTTCAGAGGAGACAGAAAACCCTGCAGAGCATCCATGAAATCTGGCTGTCTCATCTGTTCAACCAAAAACTTCATCTGTACCTGATAAAAAGCACAATCCATGTGAGAAGTGGATTTCATGTGGGAAAAGCAGTTGCTGCTTCCTTCACACACTGAGAATGCAGTGACTCCATCCCTAGGCCGGGCTCACTCTGGTGGCGTCCACGACTGAGGCAGTATTGTCAGGGAGGCATCAGGGTGGGAGCATGGCTCTGGGAGACAAGCTCTAAGCAAGGTATTATTCAAGTACTACCTACAGACCAGCTGTGGCTTTTGTACATCAAGGTGCATTACACACACTGTCCTGCCCCTTGTACACTGGCTGCTCTCACAGCTGAGTTCAGTAGGTAAGGCCAGATTATGTGATCTGAGAAGTCAAGTATTTTCTTGACTTTCAATGAGGAAGTCTGCTGATCCTTATTTGAGAAGATAAACAAAAAGACCAGGCTACTTTAGATCTGAATTTAATATTCTTACTTTTAAGGCTTCTTGGAAAACTTCAAGCATTCACACTGTTAGGAGGATTAAAGGATCTGGAACCCACTTGATGTGCAGGCTCTCACACTACATGCAGTTCACATTATGAAGACCTAGCTCAGCCATCAACTCTGAATTACCAAGCAGTCCTGATAAGTTTTTAAGGAAACTTTCATTTATTGAAAATATAAAATGTGATAGAACCAAAGCTACAGGCTAGGAAGTCGTAATTTTCCCACTGGAATTTAAGTAATGAAGCTATTTCTCTATATTAAGTGAATGGCTAGAAAATCTCATTACCACTGACTAGGCATAAAAGAAAGAGATTTGTGTCTGCTCTAATATTAGCACAGGGCCCTCATACTCTAGTGTAAGCACACAGCTACCCACAGGAACTGTTTGTATTCCAGAGTGGAACTTCAGCTCCTCACAATAATGTCATCTAAGCTGACAAGTCACTGAGTGATGAACTCCAATTTCCTAATGAAGCCGCTGTACAAAGTCAGTGTGTGATATGAAGACTCTAGCACAAAGAAATGCTAGCACTTAACAAACTATATGCTGTAAAGCTTTTCAAACTACTGCAATATAATCATTTTTCTCAAAGCAGTTCCGCTGTCCACAATCACCATGTCAGAAACAGAACAATTCTTTTTAATTTTCTTTCTTTTTACATCTATTTACTTATTTCTTTACATGTACCACACTCACTACACCAAGTCTGGTGTGTATGTTGCTGAGGACTGAACTTGTGCGTTCCTGTCTCATCCATCGTTCACATAGTCATATACCACCAACAGCTAAATCCTGGCCTTCCTCTCTCTTTACTACTAATCTATTTAAGAGTCAATTCAATCACATATTTTAAGGAATCTAAATTAATACAGTAGCTTTTTTTTAGATTAATTGCCCAACTTTAAAAAAACCTATTTTTCTGTTCTTTGCCTTTGGGACTCACTGGGGGATGATTTTCCTGTTTCACTGGAGGGGAGGCAATGTTTGCTTTTCAGCTGGCAGTGATGAATGAAGAGGGACGGGAAAGGTCCTAGGAACCTTGAGTACAGCAGATGTCAACTGAGTCCAGTTAAACTCACTACTTGTTTTCAGGGTCATTATCAAAATTACAAACACGGTAAGAAAAGACCATTTAATTACTACAGCTCCATAAGCAGAGTACACAGTGGGCACCCTTATGTTCAAGAGAGGAGACAGGAACTTTGCTCAGGTCATGTGATTAACTTCCTTCTCACAACCACTGTATTCAAAGTATTATTTCTATTTGGCAGTTGAGGAAAATGAGTCTTAGGACCCTACACATAATATATGTAATCACAAAGTTGGCAGACAGTGGAGTTTGAGTCCAAATTGTAAGGACCACAATCTATGTGTATACTGGACTTTTCAGTAACTCAGGCCCACTTCAAGTCCAAAGTCAACGGGAAAGTCACTCACACACCTTCTGTGTCTCATCCTTCTTCTCCTGCTTGAGGATGTCAGTCAGGTTGATGAGCTTCTCCATGGCCTCGACCTGTCTGTTCAGGTGCTTCAGATACATCCCACAGGCACGGCAGTAGGACTCCAGCAGCAGCCCAAACCTCTGACTAACAGTCTTATTGTGCATTTCAGACCTAAAGAACAAGCAAGATTTATTTATGTATATTATACAGTTTTGCTAATTTTTACTCATTTTATGTATATGGGTGTTTGCCTGCACATACATCTGTGTACCATGTGTATTCAGTACTTGTGGAGGCCAGAAGCGGATGCAGGAACTATAGCTCCTGGAGCTATAGTTATAGACTGTTGTGCTGTCATGTAGGTGCTGGGTCTCCTGTGCTCTCGTCACTGAGACATTGCTTCAGCCCTACAAGTAAAGTGTCTGGACAAGGCGAAACTGTAATCTTGATCATGAGGCTGTGCTAGGAAAACTGAATACATGCAGACAGGAAGTGCGCTTAGATTTGATTCTAATTCGCGTATCAACCTACATAGTCTTAAATGAGCATATACATGTTCTCAGAAGATACGAAAACCCATTTTCTAGCCCAATAAATGTTTTAATCAACAATACAATGATTAAAACACCTACCAACTTAGAAGAAAATAATTAATTTTATTATTATCTGTCCCATGATGCCTAAAGTGCTGTTCTATTTGTCTATCATAAAAGACAGCTCCAAGAGACAAACCCACACAAAGGTGGAAGGTGAGAAAAGAAGACTCCATGAAGTTGTTTTCTGACCTCCACACATCACTATGGCATGTGTATACACAAAAACACAATGAANAATGAGCAACTATGTATTTTACTGATCTAGGTTTATTTTGGCTACTATTTTCAATGTACGATACAAAGAAAGAAAACAGGAAAGTAGAATAAAGTAAACTGAAGCAGGTAAAAACTCTCTGAGTTCTGAGATTCCTGGAAGCATGTTCATACATTCCTGTCTCTATGCTCATTTTAAACGCAGCTTCTCTAGATACCAATTTTAATTAAAAACCAAACAAAATGAACAAACAAACAAACAAACAAAGCCACACTAGACACAAACCTGTTTCTAAATTTCCTGAAATCTAGGTGGTTACGGCAACTCTGAGTACTTTATCACACTGCATAAAGTAGTCTTTCACCCCTGACCCCAACCTCCCTCTCCCTCTCTGGAGCAAGAATTGGCCTACTAATTGTGATCCCCCTGCCTCAGCTTCCTAAAGTCCTGGGATCACTTGTAAAATCCACTTTCATTTTTAAAGCTTATTTTCTAACAAGAAACGTTGGACTCTGCCATTACTGTTCTGAATTCCAAGGTAAGATCCTCATTTTGAGACAACTTCATCTATGCATACAGTGAAATATCACAACATGAATTTGCATTTGGCAAATTTTACTTGGCTCAAAGTAGAAGCAAAACCTTTGAAAATATTTGCAATAACAGTACAGAATTCAGCTATGACTTCTGTTGCTCATTTAATTCCAAAGAAAATAACAGGCTTGAAACAGCTTTCCAGACAGACAAGGCAGCAAAATTCATACACTTAGTTGGGAGGTGAGTTATACATATCTAAAAAATTTGGTAGAAAAAAAATTCTGACTTACTTTAAATGCCAAAAGAAAAAATGGCCAATCCTTTGATTTGTCAACGCTTTCTTGAGTAAAAATCTCACAAGCAGGTTATCCAAATATTGTTCATATTTTAAGACCTGAGAAATTAGAAAAAACAAAAACAAAAATCCAGATGAATCAGGCCCATTTCTGATACAGCTTTTTTAAAAAATGCTATAAACAAAGTAGCTCCTACCATTAGTAATATATATTTTTTTAAAAAAGCATAAAACTAATACTATTGCTTTGATAAGCTATACAGATGTGGCGTAAAGTATTTTCAGTTTCCAGTGTCTTACCTGCACGAGCTGAATGAGGTACTGAGAAAGTTTATCATCTGTTAAGTATTTTTCCAAGCACCGAACGGCAAAACTCCGAACCATGGGATCCGGGTAATTACAGTCCAGAAGTTCCATGGCCTGCTCAGGCTTGATTGGAGGCCAGTCTTTGACTAAGCAGTACATCTGTGGGCAGAGAAAGACGGCACATCATATGTAAAACCTAAAGCAGCTTTAACATTTGACTTTAAAATTAGCCTAAAGCCAAACGTGGTGGCACATTCTTTTGGGAGGCAGAGGCAAGAGGATCTCTGAGTTTGAGGCCAGCCTGGTCTATACAGAGTTCCAAAATAGCCAAGGCTGTTTGTTACACAGAGAAACTCTGCCTCGAAAAACCACATACATACATACATACATACATACATACATACACACACACACACACACCTTAAAAATAGTTTTATATATAAGGTGATTATGACTGGTGTTTCTTAATTATGACATCATAACAATTTATATCTAAGTCGATGCAGATTTTCTGAGAATTCATGATTTAGGGAACATACAGGTTCTGTGAGAGCACCTAAAGGGTCTGTCTCACCTGGGCTACTTCATCTCTGGAATTCCACTTGACAGACAAAAGCAACTTGGGTAGGATTTCAGGAATAGTTACACAGTAGTGTCTGTTAGGGAAGACAATAGAGAATGTGTTATAGGAAGTTCTAACATCTAATTCCCCCATCATACATCTATAAGAAGTTCTAAGCTTATTATTACTATTAGCCTATCTGAAAAGCCAACTTGTGTTGAAGACTATGGTTGTACATACATTTACACGTCTATGCAGTTACAGTTAAAATGATAAAGTCCAAGAATTCAAATGGAGGATAAATGTTGGCTGACAGTTAAGAACAATCACGTATGTGTTACTCTGCTCTTCGGGCACTCAAATTGTTGACCTCTGTGACCCCCATGAGCTTACTGGACAAGGTGTGTGCTTCACAGACTCCCTGCAGATCTGAACTACAACTCCCTGTGTGAGATCCATCAGTATGGGGAGCTAGTGAGATAGCTGATGTGTCCACACAGTGATATGGGGAGTGGACTTCCGCAGACTGACCTCTGGCCTTCACATGTATACTGTGACACATGTGACCTCCACCCCACAATGATAAATAAAATGTAATAAAGAAAACATATACTAGTGTTCCAAGCAGCAACACGATTTACAAGTGAGGATAAGGCAGTATCTTCTTCCTCAAGGAGAAGGGGAAAGGAACTTGCCAAATACAGCATTTAAATCAATGAAGCTATAAGTAGCTTGTCTGAAGTGTGCATGTGTGCATGCATGCGTGCATTTGTGTTCCTGCTTGAATATTACTTTAAAAAAAATCTAAGACAACAATCTGTCAGTCTGAGGCTACAACTGAGTGGTAGAGTATGTGCTTAGTTTGTAGAAGGCAATAGGCTAAATCTCCATCACCAATTTATTAATAAGGAATTTAAGGAACTTGAGGATGGGGATATACCCAGGTTACCTAACATGCACGAGACCTTGGGCTTCACCCCAATTCCCAGGACCTTGTAAACCAGGTGTGGTGACATACCTGCAATCCTAACTTGGGAGGTAGAGGCAGAAGGATCAGAAGTTCAAAAGCCATCCTCATCTACAGTTCAAAGCCACCTTGGGCTGTAATCCTGCCCCAATAACAAAAAAAAAAAAAAAAAAAAAAAAAAAAAACAACTCTTAAATGTTTAAGTATCAACACAGCATGTGTCTCTAAAAAGAAACGTCTGTATCCATACTTTTGAAAAAGTCAACATAAATAAGAAAAGTAACAATTAAAATACATTTTATTATTTACTCTACTGTGTATAGTTAAAATGTATGTATATGTATATATGTATGAATATGGCAAGAACAAACCAGAAATGATAGATGGGTCACACCTGTAATCCCAGCTTTCAGTAAGTGGGCTGAAGTAGAGGGTTTTTAGGAACAGAGGCAGCTGGACTTTGCAGTGAACTCAAGTCCAGCTTGGACTACAGTGAGGGACCATGCTGGTCACTCCCTTGGCTTCCTGCCTTGAGACCATCATCCCAAACACTTGCCTGTGGCTCCATAGGAAGTCTTTCTCTTGCTCAGTGATTTCAGACAGTGGGTCCCGGGTGCAAAGTGCTCGAAGCTGTTCTTTGTCATTTTCTCTTAGTTCATTGTCTCTGGCGAGTCGGTTACTCTGTAAAGTAAAGTATAACTTTACACAGGTTTCTTTGAGACTCATGAGTGATATGTTTTGAAAAGCAAAAAAACTTTTAATAAAGCTCACATAACTTATTAATACAAAATAATTTATTCTTCCTACAGAACCAATTTAAAACAGTATTTGTGAAGCAATGCAGTCACATGGTTATTATGGCCACCATGCAGTCAGGTGAGACCGGGACAAAGGGAAGGGGGCAGCTCGTCCTCTCCCTGATGGGGCCCCCTACTACCCCACTAACTACAGCTTGATAATGCATCTGGCAGAACAGAGCCAGAAGCAGCAGAATAATAAAATAAAAATGCTAACTCTTTCATATTCCTTGCTAAATCATCCTTGTAACTGTTGGCAAGCTTTTAAGTTTAAAAAACAAATTAAGAAAGATAAAAAAGATGAATTAACTCATTAAAGCACTTGCATTCAACATTAAAGAACTAAAGCAGAAAGTAACAAACATTATATAATCACATGTAATAGATTTATTCTCTTCAAATACAGATTATTTGCTTCTGAGTCTTTGAATAACACCCCAAATAATCTCAAATGTCACCATGTAAAAATAAAAGAAACAAAACAAGAGGGTCTGTGAGATGGCACATTGACTGGATAAAGACGCTTGCTGTCAAGCCTAACAGCCTGGGTTTGATCCCTGGGATTCACCAACTCCATCAAGCTCTCTCTGACCTCCACAGGTAAGCTGAGGCATGCACACTTACTTTCCACAATTAAAAAAATGCGATGTAGGGGGCTGGAGAGATGGCTCAGCGGTTAAGAGCATTGCCTGCTCTTCCAAAGGTCCTGAGTTCAATTCCCAGCAACCACATGGTGGCTCACAACCATCTGTAATGGGGTCTGGTGCCCTCTTCTGGCATGCAGGCAGATATTACATAATAAATAAAAAAAATAAACATTCAAAAAAATGCGATGTAACAGATCATCTGATCAGATACCATGGATGATTATTATACAAACAGATACCATACTCTAGCCTTTGGAACAGTATAAACAAAAAGAGTCCTCCATGTTAGTTGGTCTTTATATACCAACGTATCCTGAAGCTACGTAACAGGATAAGGAAGGACATAATGCTTCAGTGAGCATCAGTTTCGTGTTGCTGTGCCCTGCTTTGCTCTTCCTGTTAGGCTCAGAAAGTAGATCCTACTCAGAGAGCGCCCAATCTAATAGGAGATTTTTTAAAAGGTGAAGAAGCCAGTGAGAAATGCCCACGGCTAAGGGGAGGACCACAGCAGAGGAGGGGTCAACACGTGAAACTGGTAGCTCAGGTTGAATACTTTTAGTGATACTACCTAGGGATGAATGCCATAGCTTATTCTACATTTTGTAATAGTTTCTGCAGCTGTTCTAAAGCAGAAGGGAAGTCAGTTAGGAGGCTACTACATGGTCCAGACGAGAAACCTGCTGTCTTACTATCATCATTATTATCAGCATCCAATGGATGCCATCGCTTTTAAAATGTTTATATGTTAATATAAAATAATTTACAGAAAAATCAGAAAAACCCATTTTACTATATATTTTAACAAGAATCCAAGCGTAATAAACTTAAATTTTCTCCTATGTGCTTCATTTTGAAATATCTTTGTCACACTGTAAATAACACTGTCAAAACAACACTTGACACTGAGGGTTCATACTTTTGTTGAAGACATCAAGATGGTTATTTTTCTCGCTCAACAATTTAAATAACATTCCATTTTACATTTATATTTCTAAATCACATGATCATGGAATGAATTCTGCATCACCTTTTTCCTTTCACAGGCCTCTATATATATCAAGTCACTGTTGAGTCCAACATTGCCATGATTAGTTTGGATAGTCAGCATGACTGGACTGGCAAAGCTTAGGTTAGTCAAGCACACAGTGGCTTTGAGAAGCTCCAGACAGATGTGAGCATCAGCCAAGAGATGGGAGATCTGGGCAGAATAAAGGGAGAGACGGATGCCTGTGCTCAGGCCTCCCCTTTCCTTTCCCATCAGCTACCCCCTGGAACACTACCACAGAGCTGCTCTGCTCTGTATGCCTTCCTCACTATGAGGGACAAAGACCTCTAAACATGAGCCAAAATAAGTCTTCCCTTCTTTGATTTTCTGTTTCAGATATTTTAAAAAATTGTTTTATGCATCTGAATCTTTTTTGTCTGCATATATAGCTGTGTACCTTGTACATGCCTGGTGCCTGCAAAGGTCAGATGAAGGTACTGGGATCCCTGGAACTAGATGGTTGTGAGCCATGATATGTATGAGTGCTAGGAATATGAGTCCTCTGCAAGAACAAGTGCTCTCAATGCCAAGTCATCTCCTTAGCCTAGCTTCCTTGTTTCTCTCAGTGGATGCTACAGTAATTAAAAAGTGTTACACATCATGGAGCATGGAAGAAATACTATGGAAGTGTGGCAAAGTCTTTGACAGAAAATATAGAAACAGAATCATTCCTTGATTAGCACTCAGTTGACTAGACTTAGTCTATCACTGGAAATACTTCCACTCCTTTCATCTTTACTGAGGATGTACACTGTTTGACACTGTGTTTACAAGACAAATCTCACCAACACCAGAGTCTGAAGCTGTGGTTCTAAAGTGGAGTAATTTCCCACCTCCAGTGGACCTTTGGTTGTACCTGGAGAAATTTTTTGATCATCAGTTTGTGTCTAGTGACATGCAGCATACTCTACAAAATAGATTCACGTGGCCTTCAGAGCAGGAATGAGGCTGAGAAACAGTGCTGCCCACACCCCATGATTTCCCCAGTAATGATGAAACAGCCTCCTCTATAACTTCTATCCCAACTAGGGAGATTGAGAATTTCTGTCCAGTCAATGTCTAAACACCACAAGGAAAAATTTTTTACAAAGCTGGTTATTTGCAGACTCATTTAAATCTCTATCTTCTTTTTAGAAGATGTCACAGACACTGGGCAATTCAGGGAGGAAAGGAGGGTGATGGACTAATGACTGGACTTCCCTGCGGCACTCTCCAGGCCATTAGACCCTCCTCTACATCTCTGTATTAGCTTAGTCTTCTGTGAGGATGACTGGAAGGAATGAAATAGAAAAATGCCTTAATATCTAGGAAAACTAAAGTTCCATAATTATCTTACACTTAGAAACATTCCCTACATATCTAAATGGCAAAGATTTCCATATATTCTATAAAAATAAATAAAACACACTACAAGTCAAAAAACCTCAGCCCTCACCAAGTGTTATCTTACTCAATAAAGAGATTTTTTTCTTTATTTTTGCTTTGTTTTTATATTGTACACACAGGAAAACAATCAGTTTCAACTGTGTGGCAAGATGTCCTCCGAAGTTCTTAGGCACTGCAATCATTGTGCCTGGCCGGGCACCCTTGCCAACCTCAGTCCACTATTAGTCAGCTGGTCTCACATCGTGTGGAAAGGCAGAAAGGACACCCTCCTGGAAGCACCTCTGAGCACCCACCCTGTCATCAGGAAACAAGCACGACAGGTAAGTGGTCTTTGATCTCAAGTGCTCTGGTGTTCAGCCTGTGGTTAGCATTCGACAACAAGGTAAACACACTGTTCTCCAACTTGATTTCTGGAGACCTGGACTAACACTTTGTGATGAAGAGTTGCTTTGCTGCCTCCAAGTAGAACTCATGTTTCTACTTCAGTATCAACTCCCAGCCACTACTCAGAGAGGCCTTTCCTGGGCCTAGCGTACACTAGCTCTACCCACCTCAGTTATCTTTATACTATTGTTCCCCAGTCCCCCTCCGCCATACATGCTGTATGATCTTGGACATCTCTTTAGTCCACAACTTCATTACAGCATCTATACGAATGTTTTATACACAGCAGCATTCAATAGGGCTTCAAATAAAGTACAAAGAAACAGGTACAGGAGGACAGGAGGCTACAGAAAGATCTCTCCTGTGGCATTGTTACAGTGTTGTATTCCTTTACACTGTATGAAGACACGTCATTGTGACAGGTTTCATAAAAAGATAAACAGCCAATAGCTGGCCAGGGAAGAAGGTAGTGTTGCTAGGTAGACGAGGAGGAAGTCTGGTATGTAGGAGATGAGGTAACAAGCCACTACCCATGTGGCAGCATGTAAAGTAATAGAAATGGATTAATTTATAAGAGCTAGTTTAAAAAAAAAAAAAACAACCTAAACTATCGGCCAAGCTTTCATAATTAGTTAAGTCTCTGTCTTTTTTTTTTTTTTTTTTTTTTGTGAGCTCGTGACCCAAAGAAAAGTCCATCTACAACAGAGCTCAGTAGTATCCACACCAGGATGATCGAGCTATACAACTCTCATGGACACAAAGCCGGTGCTCATCTCTAGACACTATGGCAGAGACAAAGAAATGCAGGTGTGTGTCTTACCAGTCCTGTATGAGAGTAACTGAACCCAGCTTCTCGGGACACAGACCAGTTGGCATGCTCTTCGATCACAGACATGTCGGGAAACTTCACCACACTGCTGAACCAATCAAACTCCAGCTCTAAGCAAGGAGTTTCCTATAAGAAAAAACAAAGGTTATTGCATACATGTTATGCTTAGCTGTCATAAAGAAAACTGATTTCTGATAATAAAAAGCTTACTTTATTTGGATTTGACCCGGTAACACCAATAGGGTTCAGCAGATCTTCTAACCCATGTGGTACAGGCCAGAGATTCAAAGCCATTTTCCCGGATACTAGGGTGTCTGTGTAATCAAACAAGTTTATATTTCCCCAGGCCAATGGACAGTGCTCCTTAATGAAACAAAGAAAATATTCACGATTCTGTGAATAAATCACACATTTCCAAATACACTTCTTCCCTTGGAGGAGAATTCAACAGCTGTATCTATAGTTAAAGGAATACAAAGTCTACCAAAGCCACAATGGCTTTTCAATATCAGGGTTTTCTGTGCTTTTCCCACTGGAAATCCCAGTGTTTTCTCTCTTTTAAGTGGACTCCAGCGCAGGAGTGAGGTGTGTAGTAACTCTTGCAGAACCCAGCATGCTTAAAGAATTACACATAAACTCAGGACCTACTTATTCACCAGCCATTTATTTCTCAAGCTCTCCTACTGTATTCTTAAAAGATACACTAATATCTTACAAAGCTTTAATCAATTAATACTTTACTTAAAAAAAGTCAGCATGGTGGCACCCGCCTGCCATCTGCATTTGAGAGGATGAGAAAGACAATTCGGTGCTCAGGAGAACCCTGGGTTACATACATGGCAGGATGAGTCTGAACCAAGAAACAAAAGAGGAAATCTGCCCGTTTTGTAAGGAAGCACGAATCAGAGCTGTCAAGGGATTCTGGGGGTAGCCACATCTAGAGATGGTATCACCCGAGATACTTTACCTCCTTAGCACCCTTTCGGCCTTTAACAGAGCAAATGGAAAGGCAGAGGCGAGCGGCACGAGGGAGATCAGGAATGTATATGTCATAATTCAGCCATTCACTCCACCTATAGAGAATCGGTAAAACAAAGCTATTCCCAGAATGCACATGGCTCCACAATACATCAATACTAAGATGAGGGAAATGACAATCAAACAAAGTCACAGGACAGAACTGTATTAAAATGGCCAAAGAGTTGGGTGTGGTGGTTCACACCTTTATCCCAACACTCAGGAAGCAAAGGCAGGTTTTGTGAGTTCAAAGACAGCCTGACCTATATAGCAAGTTCCAGGTCAGTCAGAGTTACATAGTGAGACCCTGTTTCAAAAACCTGGATTGTGTTGAGGGGTGATGTCTGGGTCAGTACTACTGGCCATAAAGAGTATGCAAAAAATTAAAACTTCACAGATGGAAAAGATAAAGGGCAGGTGGCAAAGAACATACTAACAGGAAACCTCATGTATTAGCACTAAATATAACATTTGTTATAACCAAACTGGAAAGCCTTGTAAAATGAACAAATACATACCCAACTTTACTATGAACAAAATACAGTAATGATCTATAGATTGCTAACGGAACTTTTCATAATAGCCTCCAACTGCAAATAATCCAAAAGGGAAATACACTTGCCAAAGCCAGGATACTTGTTCCCTTTAGGAGGAAAATCAATAGACTGGCCCTGGCCACTTTTTCTGTTTTTATTTTATGATCAGTGTCTGGGGGGGGGTGGGGGAGAGAGAGAGAG